TTACCAGTGATGAAAATGTTCTGAACTCTAGAGAATGGTGACGGTTGCATAACCCTGTGAATGTTCTAAAAGACACTGGATTGTGTACTCAAATGTTTATAGTGGTAAATTTTATGTTGTGTATATTTTACCACAATAAAAAAGTTGCTATAATGATTGTTTTATGTCGATGCTATATTGTAGTTTCTGTTCTCTCATTAGTATTTGTGAAAACTTAATCTGTTCTGTTATGTTTTGTTTAGGTAAAATGATCCATTCTATGGTAGCTCACTTGGATGCTGTTACAAGTCTAGCAGTAGATCCTAATGGAATCTATTTGATGTCTGGAAGTAAGTCTTAAAGTCCTGTACTGCCCACAAACTTTATAAAAGATTGTTACTCAGTAACAAATTTTATTTGTTCTTTTATAGGCCATGACTGTTCCATCAGATTATGGAATTTAGACAGCAAGACATGTGTGCAAGAAATAACAGCTCACAGAAAGAAATTGGATGAATCAATTTATGATGTTGCTTTCCACCCATCAAAAGCATATATAGCTAGTGCAGGAGCTGATGCCCTTGCCAAAGTATTTGTATGAATCAACAAAAACTTGCATCGTAACAAGATTTGCTTGGACAGAAAGAGGGTCTGCATCACTGCCATCAAAAAGGTTACTGATATGACACTACATGTGATCTGCCTGGTGAAAGCTATTTGGGGCAGGTACAGATTGGTGGAAATCACACCTTAATGTCAAGCTCATTAAGTTAACTGTAATTACTGTATTTTGTGGGACAAAGAAAAAAGGACTCCAGTATTTGTGGCCTGTACTGGATATGAACTGAGCGTATGTCTGTTTTTAGGTGTCTTTAAGCCAATGTGGAGTCTGATCTTTCAAAAAAAGTTTTTTTGTTTTTTGGTTTTTTTTCTTTTCTTTTGGACTCTGTGTGCTGCCTTAGGGTTAGGAATGTGGTGCTCTTGTTGGGGGAAGTGAGCTCCAAGAGTAGCTTTTTTTCATCTTTTAGTGATTTTCTGTTTATCGGTTGAATGCCACAGATTCCCTTTTAAACTTATTTTGCTTTAAAAAAAAGAAAAAGAAAAAGAAAATTTAACTTAAAATATTTTAGCATTAGTTGCACAAAATGTTTGGATAAAATTCTAGTTTTTATAAGTCTTTTTATATATTTAGCCTGTCACAACAGTGCTCAAGATTGTATTGAAGTTTTTCTGCATTATACAACCCTAAAACACAGAGATCTCACTGACCCGCTGCCCTGTAACCACTTTCTTTTCCTTCTTTTGCCTAATACAGCTCAGCTAAGTCCTTCCATAAAGATGCTAAATAACTTTCATCATCACATAAATGTCTTCATAAACCAAGGACTATTAAGTGTATTAAAATGAAACAGTGGAGTTTAGTACTCCAAATGAACTCTTAAAGAAAAAAAAAACTAATCTTGGCATCCTATCACTATGTGATATTTTGTACATCTTACTGTATTTACAAGTTTATTTATCAAGGATTATCCATCTTGCTAATGGCCTATTATTTATTTCACTTTTTGTTGGTCTTTATATCCTTTTATTAATGTGCTAAAGGAACCTGTATATCTATTTTGGAAATCTTTGAATAGTCTAAAATAGACTAAAAATGGAATATTTTATAGTTTAAATTACAAACCAAGATGGTTCCCCTTAAGATATGTATCTTGGTTTACCATGATTCCAAACAAAACTAACTTGTTTTAAAATATTTGGAGTAAAATTTTATTTGCATTACAAATAGGATACAAAAATAGTTGAATCAGGATACAGAAATCTGCTGTGTTTTGACTAGTTATCCCTGTTTTATTTTTTTAGATGTGCTTAATTTTATGGTGTAACTAAAGATTTTGTTTGTGTAATGCATGATTGAGACAATAAAGTATTTTTTCTAGTCTTCCAAGAAACTTTTCGGATCAGTTTGCGAGTTTTGATGAGTTTTGTAAGGTTTTTGTTTTACAAACTATGAATCAGCAAATTTTTAAGATTGTACCACATAGCAAACATACAGCTGTTGAAAAATAATGTATATAAAATGCATATAATAAATATTAAATTGTGTACCTGTATGTTACTGTTGGCTACATCATTTTGTGTTGAATAATAAAGTGCAATACTTTACTCTCCGTAATTAAACTAGGAAATGGAGATTTCTTAGTGAGTCCTTCATTTTTATGCTGTTCTTTCAAACTTTGTACTACTTATTGATATTCTAATAAGAGTAGATCACTAACACTATTAATAATGTCTAAGTATTTCACCCCACTTGAGGATTAAAAAAAATCTTCCATTAAATTATGCAATGCAAAATAACCCCAAAAAATGCACAGATGCAGTTATAAATAATTTGCTTAGACAACCTGTTTCAATCTGAATTTCAGTTAATGGCAGTGTTGTTCCTATTTGCTATACCTGTTTCTACAAAAAAATTCAGCAAGAAATAAACTACATTGAATATTTAGCTTCGTTGGTGCAAAAGTAATTGCGGTTTTTGCCATTTCTGGCAAAAAAAAAAAAACTGTTAAAAGTCTTACAAATAATGTTAAACATTAATATTTTGAAATGTGTCTTCAATAAGGTAATATCCTTTGTCTTTGAAGGGAATTGATGATGAAATTACAAGGGAACACTAGAAAACTTACGCGTAAAATTCAATTTGAATGCTTGCTGCTGTTGCTGGGGGAAAAAAATTACATTGTACATTGAGAAATTTTGTCATCTACCATAAAAATCTAAGTGGCAATTTTAGTCATTGATGAAAAACTAAAACTTTTCAAGGTTTGTTTTTTTTTTTTTTTTGAGATGGAGTGGAGTTTCACACTTGTTGCCCAGACTGGAGTGCAATGGTGCAATCTCAGCACACTGCAATCTCCGTCTCCCAGGTTCAAGTGATTCTTGTGCCTCAGCCTCCCAAGTAGCTGGGACTACAGGTATGCATCACCACGCCTAGTTAATTTTGTATTTTTAGTAGAGACAGGGTTTTACCATGTTGGTCAGGCTGGTCTCAAAGTCCTGACCTCAGGTGATCCACCCGCCTCGGCCTCCCAAAGTGCTGGGATTACAGGTGTGAGCCACTGCATCCAGCAAATTTTTTTTTTTTACCATTTTTTTTGTTTCTCTGAACTGAACATTCAACTAAAGAGCAAAGTAAAGGGGGTACTTTTCTCCTCTTCTGTTTCTTCTTTTTTGAAATAAAGAATAAGCTTTTCCAAAGCTAGAATTGTTTCTAGCAGCTGTTTCAACCCAGTACATCACCATTGATCTGAAATACAATTATTGGAATGCATAAACATTGATGTATTTTGGAATGTATTAAAACTGAAATGGATAAAAATTAGTATATATATTTTGTTGTTATCTCCTTTGGTTGTATTTTTCTCTGCAGTATTTAGTCTCTTTGGAAGAGACTAAAGGTATGCACAAATAATGTCTTATTTTCATTATGTGTGCTTCCATTTGACACATGGGAAATTGATTTCACTATTAAATAGTACTTTATACAAATCTTAATATGTTGATTTCTTCCCTCAATAGTTAATCATATTCTGCCTCTCATAGTTCATGTTGTTTTTCTCATTATTTCAAACTAGGTAACATCCGTTGAAGACTAACATTGCATTTAATGCATTAAGTTATAAATGGGCTAGCATATTTGAAATCTAAGCATGTTTGCTTAAGTTGGATTGTAATACATCTTTCCTTTTTACTCTCTGTCCCCTGTAAATAACCTTTATCCTGATTATGTTTACATATAAAATTATTGATAGTAACCTACGGTTCTGATTTCTGCTCTCTTGCTGCTATTCCCTGGTTACTTCAGGTGACTCAAAACTTGGTCCTTTATAAAATTAAAGAAAAAAGCACTTTCTTAAAAGGGCTAATGAGTGGTAGCTGGGTTTTCATTAAAGCTTATTTTTCCAAGGGGTTGTACTCCTAGCTGAGAGTTTTCGGTTTACTTACTGGGGAAAAAGTCATATTATGCTAAGCCCAGTTTTTATGATGTTTAATTAAAATTATCCTTGTTACATGATTCAGTCATGTTTGAAGCATTTTATAAAGGAGGAGGTTGTCTTCTGAAACTCCATTTTCAATTTCAAATTTTTATGTAGTGAAAAAGGCAATTCCAGTTCAGTTTTTCCCTGTGTGTACTACTTTTATTCCTCTTATGCAGAGTATAAAACTGTAAGACTCAAAAGATTTACTGGAGTATATTATTCTGACTGTTTAACACCTTTTTCAGGGGGCTTAGGTGGATGAGAGGAGGAGATAGGACCCGTATTTAGAAAAGACAGGCAAGATGGGATGATAGAGCACCTCTTTCTTTTGGGAGAGGCCTTGGTGAGCTAATCATCTAAGTCATATTAAGGGAGTCCTAATGTTCTCCTTTCATAGGGACCAACTTCACAAGCATTTTTAAGTAAAAATGATGTCAATTACAAAACATTTCTGGTGAAGCAAGTACTCAAAAATATCTTATACTGTTTAACCAGGTAGTCACTGTGTATAATGTCTAGAACAGTAGGTATTCAATAAACTTGTGTCTTTTTGTTTTTTTGTTTTGGAGATAGGGTCTTGCTCTGTCACTCAAGCTGGAGTGCAGTGGTGTGATCATGGCTCACTGTAGCATTGACCTCAGCTCAAGCAGTCCTCCCACCTCAGCCTCCCGAGTAGCTCGGACTACAGGCATGCACCATCCCACCCAGCTAATTTTTTTTTTTCTTTTTTGTAGAGTCAGAGTTCTCACTGTTGCCCAGGCTGGTCTTGAATTCCTGGCCTCAAGCAGTCCTCCCGCTTCAGCCTCCCAAAGTGCTGGGATTACAGGCATGAGCCACTGTGCTTGGCCTCAATAAATAATTGAATCAAAAAATATTCTTGGTATTAATACATGATTTAAAAAACAATTCAGATTGGTCTTTCCACATGAATTTTTACCATATACTCAGGGGAAACACTTGCAGTAATAAAAGTAAGCCAGCTTACAATCACTCACTAGCAGTTTTATTGCTTAAGTATTCCAATTACATTATTTTTTCCTGCAGTTACTTGAAATGTCTTTAAATGTTTATAAGCAGTCAGTAAATACTTTACCAACTTTTAAGTACTTGGGTGACTTAGAATATAAGCCAAATATATCTATATACATATAAAATTAAGGAGAGAAATAGAAAAATACCTGGCAATCCTGCTCTCTTATTCAGTGTGATATTTTTAGTCATAAGTTGTTATGAAAACACACTACAAAAGCAGTTTGACACAGGACTCCTTTCTATACCCAGATTTTATAGTCTGCAGTAATAGCTAGCTATTGTTGATTGATTTTAAGAAAATATCCACTTGGGTCAAAATACGTATACCTGAACCATGTTAAAGAGCTGTGTTCCATTTAAGTTTCTCTTTTCATTTTGCTTATATAAATCAATACGGAATGGTTAGAGAAGGAATGTTGCTTTTGGTCTAAGTGTCAGATTCTTTTATTGAGCTATGGAATGTGCGTATCTGTACATTTAGTAGGCATGGTTAGAACTCAAGGTTTTAATCCACATTATCTCTTCTTTCCTGAGTTTCTAAGGGCCATGATTATGAAGCCTCAGCAGTGTTTTTAACAAAGTACACTGTAAATTGTAACCAAAAGGCAGTGGCTTTAAAGGAGTGCTTATTTGCCTAAATGGCTGTTGACATATTTAATATAATAGTTTTGTATCTGATTCTAGTATGCTAAAGCATTTCAGTATTATGAGAATACAATTTATACACTGGATCCCCTTGTACTTTTTCTTTCAGTTGTCAAAATGTTACCATTATTGCTGGGATTCTAAGAAATCTCTACAAATGCCTCTGATGACATCAGAAACAATCGGTTCTAATCCTGTGAACTCTCTTGTGAAGAAAGCATGAGACTCCTTCGGTTTAGAAGCCATATCTTTCAGGTCATCCAGAGGTGCCCAAGCCACACCAACAGAGAAGATAGTGATTCCTACAATGGAAACATTTTAAAGTGAATTAAAAACCAGGTCTATCTAATATATGGAATTATGTCTATATGTTTTCCATACACTGTTACATAGTTGCAGCAAAAACTGCTTACTAATTTCTGGACAATTAAATCCCCCGAACAAATTTAAGTTTTCACAGTCATTGTGACAAGAGTGGCAAAAGAGTGGTCCAAACCAGAAACTCTGCTATATCTGTAACTCACCACATGAACAGGTAAGTCATGATCACTGATAAAAAATATTTGATAAAGTTCAACATCCATTAATGACGGAACACATCTAATAAACTAGGAATAGAAGAAAACTTTTAACCTGATCCACAGTATCTTTTTAGAAATCCTACAGTAAATGCAGATGGTGAAAGTTTTCCATACAAGGTTGGCCTGCATCAAACAGTATACTGGAGTCAGTCACAGTCCATTAAAGCAAGGAAGAAAGGCACCAGAGATGGGATAAGTAAAAGGTAAAAATGTTCAAAGGTTGTTTGAGGAATGGTGACTAGTCCTCTGAAAATGACAAACCCTCTTCCACTTCAGTCTTTAATACTGGCAAACTAAAATCAGAAAATGTCAGCCTATAATCCCAAAGCAAAACTAGTGATTAAAAAGTACTGCCCAAGTGGGGTCTGTATGAAACTGGAGTAATTTCTTCCAGTTCCGTTGAGGTATTCTATTTCCATTCACTTGAGTTACTAGAAGGCTTTTAGTACAACTGTACATTTAGATAGGGTGATAATACATTGGTTGGATTCACCCCAATCTCAATTGTAGAAGTTTTCATTTTATTTTTTTTTTTTTTTTTTTTTTTTGAGACAGAGTCTGGCTCTTTCGCCCATGCTGGAGTGCAGTGGTACAATCAAGGCTCACTGCAGCCTCAACTTCCTGGGCTCAAATGATCCTCCTCAGCAACCCCATCCTCGAGTAGCTGGGACTGCAGGTGTATGCCACCAAGCCCAGCTAATTTTTTAATTTTTTTGTAGAGATGGGGTTTCACCATGTTGTTCAGGCTGGTCTTATCTCAAACTCCAGGGCTCAAGCGATCCATCTGCCTTGGCCTCCCAAAGTGCTGGGATTACAGGCGTGAGCCACCACACCGGGCCTCATTTAGCAGATTCTTAGTGTAGAGTACCATCTATCTAATGCTGGGTGCAATTTTCTATAGCTTTTGGAGTTTCTGTAATAGATTTCCTCTACGGATCTAAAGCTTCATCCCCCTTCTAGTGGTACACAGTGCTCAGAGTGGTAAACACCTAAGATACACAGCAGGTTTACATGATGTAAAAGCTACTTGGAACAATTTCCAATTGTTCCAGTCTCCTTTTCCTGACTCCTACTCCCTGGCAAAAAAAAAAAAAAGTCAAAATATTTTTTTCCTCCTCCTCAGTTTTCCTCACTTCTTTTCAGTTCTACATTCTAGTTCAGATTTTTTAGCTCAAGCCCAGCATATAATTACAGTTTTAAAAAATAAAACAATCACACCACTGTACTCCAGGCTGGGCGACAGAGCAAGACCCTGAAAATAAATAATAACAGTTGTGATCTAGCCCTAAAATCCTACCCTATTTTCTGGCCTTTGCAACTTTCAATATCACTAAGGGATAATTTTCATGAATCAATTTTGGTGTAGTCCAGCCTTCTGAAGTTTAATGAACCTAATCACTTTATAGCCTGAATACAATCCTGTTATCTATAAGTTCAGTAAGCTAAGTATTAAGGAATATGAGAGTAAACAGGTCTTTACTTCACAGATTAGTTACTGATGTATAAAAAATACTTTTTATGCCGGGCGCGGTGGCTCACGCCTATAATCCCAGCACTTTGGAAGGCCGAGGCGGGCAGATCATGAGGTCAGGGGATCAAGACCATCCTGGCTAACACGGTGAAACCCCGTCTCTACTAAAAATACAAAAAAACACTAGCCGGGCGTGGTGGTGTGCGCCTGTAGTCCCAGCTACTCGGAGGCTGAGGCAGGAGAATGGTGTGAACCCAGGAGACGGAGCTTGCAGTGAGCCGAGATTGCGCCACTGCACTCCAGCCTGGGTGACAAAGCGAGACTTCATCTCAAAAAAAAAAAAACACTTTATAAGCTAGATGTGAAACTTAAGTTGCATATCTTCTCTGTCTTAAGAATAATCTTTCATCAGTATCTGTAAAAATAGGTAAGTACATTGGCAGAGGTACTAATGTGTAGAAAGGAAAAAGGTTATGTCATTAGGAATTAAGTAGGGAAAAGGAGGTACAGAAGAGTATAAAAACAGCAAGTCCATTGATTCTTCCCTCCTGTCACTCAGTTATATCCTCAGAAAGGGAATCTTAGGTTTTTGTTAGTCTATTTGATCGCCAACACATTATGTTAATGTCCTCAGGAACGAGGCCTGTGCCAAAAGTAATATTAAGGCTGGGGTGAGGAAGAAAGAAAAAGAAACACTTCTTATACCCTTTTATAACACCAGAGTGTGTTTTTATTATCTTAAGGGGGAGAAAAAAAGGAAGGTTTTTTTTTTTTCTTTTTGAGACAAAGTCTCCCTCTGTCACCCAGGCTGGAGTGCCATGGCACGATTTCAGCTCACTGCAACCTCAGCCTTCTGGGTTCAAGTGACTCTCGTGCCTCAGCTTCCTGAGTAGCTGGGATTACAGGTGTATGTTACCACACCCGGCTAATTTTTGTATTTTTAGTAGAGATTGGTTTTTACCATGTTGGCCCAGCTGGTCTTGAACTCCTGACCTCAGGTGATCTGCCCACCTCAGCCTCCCAAAGTGCTGGAATTATAGGTGTGAGCCACTGCACGTGGCCAAGGGGGATAGGTAAAGACTATGGGAGACCTTATCTCAGGAAACTCATGCCAGACAAAACTTGACTAAAATAAAAGTTAGGGTTGGGTGCGGTGGCTTATGCCTGTAATCGCAGCACTTTGGGAGACCGAGGTATGAGGAATGCTTGAGCCCAGGAGTTTGAGACCAGCCTGGGCAACAAAGTGAGACCCCTGTCTCTACAAAAAAAAAAATTTAAAAATTAGCCAGGCGCAGTGGCATATGCCTGTCGTCCTAGCTACGTGGAAGGCTGACACAGGAGGATTGCTTGAGCCCAATAGTTGGAGGTTGTAGTGAGCTCTGATCATGCCACTGCACTCCAACCTGGTGACAGAGCAACAACCTGTTTCATACACAAGAAAGTTAGGATAAATTACTGAATGACAGATTCATGGTAGGTTATAAGCTGGCTATTTGGAGATATAGTCCAAGTTTGAACTAAATGTGAGCACCTGTAACATTTCCTTAACGTGACATGGTTCTCATGACAATTCTCCCAACAATACAGTGGTTAGGAATGTGGACTCTGGAGCCAGAATGCCTGGGTTTGGATCTTGGCCTTGCCACTTACTAGATGTGTCATTTCCAGGAAGTTTGTTTCCTTATCTGTAGAATGAGATTAGTAGGGCTGCTTTGACAGTTACTATTGGGTAAAGCTGCAGGTGTTTGTTCAATGAAATGCTTAAATTTTTATTTACTCCTAAAATTCACTGAACCGTTTTTTTTCTGTTCCCTTCTCCTATAAAGAACAAGGACCTTACCTGCATCATGTGCAGCAGCTGCAGGGCCTTGGACATCATCATAGGACTGCCCATCTGTGACAATTACTAGGAAGTTCTTGTTGGGGCTCTCCCTTATAGGACCAAACACATTTCTAACAGTAAAGGAAATGGCATCACCAGTAGCTGTTCCACCACTCATATAGCGGATGTTTCTGATAACAGCTAGGACATCCTCTTTGGTGCTATAGTCAGTGAAACTGAACTCCGTGCGCTGATCATAAGTAAACTGTACAGCAGCTATCTTGGCACCAATGTCCGAGATTTCAAAAGTCTTGGCTATGTTGGAAACAAATTCAAGCATGAGGCGGAAATTGCTATCTCCAACACTGCTGGAGCCATCAATTAGGAAGGCAATGTTCACTGAGTTATAACAGGTCTTGCTGCACATCATTTGTTCATGAGTGCACAGCTTCTGTACCAGAGGCTTTACGTATTTTGTGGTGCCAAACCAGTTGGGCATGTGGTAAGAGAAGAAGCCATTATTCCGACAGACAGCCTAATGGGGGAGACACATAAAAGATATCCAAAAGGATCAAAAGTTGTTTCTTCTTAAAACCTGTGGAAAATCCTGAATGTTACAAGTTAATCTAGATAACAGGCAGTCAGCACTGCACTTAGAGGTCCAAAATGGAATACCTATCACTGTAACAGAAGATGACCCTCACCACTTTACCTTGTCAACAAATGTAACATCCTGAACCATCCCCAGTTCTTCAGGAATAGGCTTGGCCACAGAAACTATAAATACATTGACACCAAACTCTCTGGCCACAATGCCTGCTTCCTCGATGTCATCAGAAGGCCAACCATCAATAAATACCACCACCACTTTGGGGATCCCTTTTCTTACTCCAGCATCTACTGTGAAGAATTTCTGAGCAGTATGCTTCAAGGCTTTTCCTAAATTTGAAAAAGAAGCAAACAAGTAGCATTTACCACTGCTCAAACCACATTTCCGTTTCCCTGTAGCATTTGATGCTGCAAAGTTTAAGAATTATATATAGAACTGGCAGTGGGGCGGGGCACACACAAAAAAGAATTATATAGAACCCAGTTCTGTAACAGATGCATCAGCTGGGAAAGTTTAATTATCTACCAGGCCTATTTTTTTCTCTTCACAAACCATATTAGTTCCCCCTCCACCTCCTAGAAGCCTCACATTTGCTTATCCCACATCAGTTGCCAGTTAGAAACACAAAACTGATTCCCACTTCTGTGCATGTGCTCTCTATGTAGACCTTTGGTGACTGATTAGTGCCTCTAAGAAGTCTCTCTTCAGAGTCAACAGTAGTGCTACTCTCATTCTTTCTGCCATGTCTGCATTCATTAGATAAGTCTATTGATCTTCACTTCTTTTTAGCAGTAAAAGAGATACTTCTCCAATGTTATATATCTAGTCAATCCAACATATGAGAATTCTAAATCACCATGCTTTATATTTTTAAAAATAAGAAACATCAACACACTTTAGTATACTTCCCTTATAAATTGAAAATTTATCTCAGATGATCAAATGCAGACCTAGCCAAGATTTCAGTTCCAGGAGGATTTCACATCTGCTCATATAAAATAGCATAATACTGTTTTACATGTCTGATCACTGATAACCCTCTCCTATATTACTTCCCAGGTATTGAAGTCTACTTACCTGTATTGGAATTACCCCCTCTGAAACCTACTTCCTTTATGGCAAACAAAACATCTTTGGCTGATGTAAAGTTTTTCAAGTAAAATTCTATTTTGGGATGTTCACTAAGTGGAAGAAAGAAAATGTTACTCAGGGAGAATTAAAAAGGTAAAATAAGCAACATTACATGCCTTAAAAAACAGTTTTAAAACCAGACAACACACAAGTTTCTTTCTTAATTCCACAGTACAGTCAACTAAGGCATTGCATCCTTACTTGAATTATTGGGGATATTTCAGAGGTGTAACAAAGAACTGCCATATTGAGGATTTATTATATTCTGGATAATAAGTCAAAAGCATAACACATGTATAACCTCATTTCATCATAGCTCTACAAGGTTGGAATTATCCCAATTATGTAAATGAAGAAACTGAGGCTCAGAGCATTTAGGGAGTTTGCCTGATGAAACACAGCTGCATTTTAAGTTCAGGTTGTCTGGCTCCAAAGTCCACGCCTAAACTATACGAAGAACTTGAAATCAGGTTTGGCTCAGAGCCTTGGGTTTAACAGAAGTCCACAGAATTGGGCACTAGGTAGCTAAACTAAATTAGGAAGTGGCTGGGTGTGAAACTAGGGTCTGTTCCATCGTGGGACCCAGAGGCTCTAAGTAGTGTGGATCTATTAACCCAGGTCTCTCTGTTCAGGAGAAACAATTTCACTGATGTGATGGTCAACATTTTTTTAAACGGAAAAAGGTGAAATGAATTATAAAGTTACAATATTGAGTTTTTCTTATGATGACAGTGACATTTGTGGACCTTAAAATTATGTATGTTATAAGAGTTTTGCGATCTCATTTCCTATATTTAATATTAAAGGAATTTCAGCTTTTATATAACTACTCTGTGTTCATCAGAGACTGTATTGAGTATAAACAACCAAAGCACAATCTGCTGTGTTTAGATTCCAGATGAGTCAGTATTTCATAGTGCAAAATTTTAAGATCTTAGCATTATCAGTAGCTATTTTATTCAAGATTTTTTCAGAGAGAAGTATAACACTGACTGCATTTCTGCACACATACATGATGGAATATTGGGTCATAAAATCAGATTCCATGGGTTGAAAACCTTTTCACTTGTGGTCACTTTTCAACTATCCAGATTATGACTTAGGAAATTAGTCTCGTTTTTGTATCCTTAATGATATGTTCTGTCCTTTGACTTACATATAAACTTGACAGGGTTTATCTATTCTAATGGTCTTTCTGAAACAGAAAAACTGCAAACAAGGAAGTTACAAGAAGCTAGTCTTTGTATGAGTCTACAAGGTAATGAAGCATTGATCTTCAAAAAGAATTGGGTCAAAATAGTCAGAAAAAAGTATCAGACAAAAAGTATTGCAGGGGAATTTGCCTCATGGGATGTTAAAATGTGCAAGAAAACTATGATAATTAAAGAAGTGTAGAAAAAATATGTAAAGATTAGCATATGAATCAAAGAAATAGACTTGCTCAAACTCAGGTATAAATATGATACTATAAGTCAATGAAACAAGGAACCCATTTTTTTAAGGGTGAGAGACAAATGGTTAAATTATGTAAAAAGAGTTAAATTTTCTTCTCACGCCAAAAAAATTCTATCTAAACTAAGAGCGGAGCCACTTGTAAAAAATAACATAGATGAAATGCAAATTAATATTTGTAATAGCATTGTTTATACATCCTTATACACTGCTGATAGTAGTTTAAACTAGTTCACCTTTCTAGGAAGCAATTTTGCTATTTATTTATTTGTTTTTTTAGAGATGGGGTCTTGCTCTGTTGTCCAGGCTGGAGTGTAGTGGTGCCATCATAGCTCTCTGCAGCCTTGAACTCCTGGGCTTGAGATCCTCACACCTCAGCCTCCTGAGCAGCTGGCACTACAAGCATGAGCCACTGTGCATGGCTCAATTTCACTATTTATATCAGAAGCTTTAAGTCAGAACCTCACTTGTAGAAATCTAATGTGATAAAATAATAAGAGATGGGCACAAAGATAATATAAGGATGTTCATCACAGTGTAGTGTGTAATGTAGTGAAAAAACAATAAAAGAATGGCTAATTATGTAGAGGAATATTATGAAATATTTTTGATGAATATTTGTGATATGAGAAAATGCTCAAAATACTAAAGGATGAAAAAAACAGGATGCAAGGCATTTTTTATAGTCTGAGCTTTTAAAAAATAATACAGTCAAATATTTCCTTAAAATACTGAAGGGGCCAGGCGTGGTGGCTCACACCTGTAATCCTAGTACTTTGGGAGGCTGAGGCAGGTGGATCACCTGAGGTTAGGAGTTCGAGACCAGCCTAGCCAACATGGTGAAACCTTGTCTCTACTAAAAATACAAAAATTAGCCAGGCATGGTAGTGCACACCTGTAATCCCAGCTACTCAGGAGGCTGAGGCAGGAGAATCACTTGAACCTGGGAGGTGGAGGTTGTAGTGAGCAGAGATCGCACCAATGCATTCCAGCCTCATTGACAGAGCAAAACTCCAAAAAAAAAAAAAAAAAGTACTGAAGGGAAATAAAACATTTTATAGTAATTATCTCTAGGGCATAAAAAAAAAAAAATTTCTTTTTTTGTGCTTTATGTATTTTCGAGCTTTTTACAATAAGAAAAAAAAAAATTCTAAAAGCTAAATATATATTTTTTGTTTGTTTGAAACAGAGTCTTGCTCTGTCACCCAGGCTGGAGTGCAGTGGCATGATCTCGGCTCACTGCAAGCCCCACTTCCCAGGTTCATGCCATTCTCCTGCCTCAGCCTCCCAAGTAGCTGGGACTACAGGCGCCCACCAGTACTCCTGGCTAATTTTTTATGTATTTTTAGTAGAGAAGGGGTTTCACCATGTTAGCCAGGATGGTCTCGATCTCCTGACCTCATGATCTGCCTGCCTCGGCTTCCCAAAGTGCTGGGATTACAGGCGTGAGCCACTGTGCCTGGCCAGCAATTAATAAAATTTTTAAAAAAAAAAAATAGAAAGGTCATGCTTCAGCTCACCAACCAAGAGAATATGGAAAGAGCTAAAAAGCATAACAGAATAGGGAGGTGGAATAGACATATCACTGCTTCTTCCTTCAGAAAAAAAAAAATAGGAATTGAGCAGAGTAGATAAGCAGAGGTGACTTGTGTAAGCAACAAAAAAAAAAAATCTACCTTCTTGTTCTTATATAGATAGCACACAGTTTTCTAAATTCAAAAAAAAAAAAAAGAAGGCACTCAGAACTACTCAGTTTGCCCAGGCAGTCTCAGATCCTGAACTTACAGTTTAGGAATCCAGTGTTTCCATAACTCAAAATGTTTATACTGAACTAAAAAAAAAAAACTAAAAGGATTGATCATTTGTCATCATTCAAGACATCATAGAAATCAAAAAAAAAAATATTTATTTATTTATTTATTTTTGAGACATAGTCTCTCTGTTGCCCAAAAAAAAAAAAAGTGGTGCAATCTTAGCTCACTGCAACCTCTGCCTCCTGAGTTCAAGAAAAAAAAAAACCTCAGCCTCCCAAGTAGCTAGGATTACAGGCGCATGCCACCACATCTGGGTAATTTTTGTATTTTAGTATTTTTAGTAGAGACTGGGTTTCATATGTTGGCCAGGCTGGTTTCAAACTCCTGACTTCAGGTGATCCACACACCCACCTTGGCCCTCAAAGTGCTGAGATTACAGGCATGAGCCACTGCGCCCAGCCTCATTTGATTTTGAATGTATCCAACACAAAGAAGTGATCAATGTTTGAGGTGATGGATATGCTAATTGCTCTGATTTGATCACTATACACTGTATGTATGAAACCATTACTATGTACCCCATAAGTATATATAATTATTATGTGTCAATTACAAAATAAATACATAATTTTTAAAAAATCTCCCATTTTAACAAGGTTGGTACCTGGCTTGAACAAGACCCACATGTGGTCCTTCTGTTCCAATTCCCAACATTAGAAAAAAAAAAACAACAAAATTCTTCTGTAAATTAAATCGGCGCTGCCCAATATTAAAGCTTCCATCAATCAGAAATGCAATGTCTGCTTTACAATCTGCGAACAACCAAACCAGTCCCCTCGTTAGCAGTCTCAGGAGGAGGGAGGGAAAATGCTGCCTTCCCAAATGGAGATTAAAAAAAAAAACTTTATTGCCAGTTTTCTTCTCAGGTGTTTTCTTTAGTCGTTTACCTAAAAAAAAAAATGCACTTGGCATTAACAAAAGACAGTTACATAGCAAGAAACCCACATAAAAAAAAAAACGTAACAACAGAGTGCCATTCTCGAAAGGACTTTTTCAAAAAATTTAACTTCCTCAGGATTTTCTGGACTAGGGAAAGCAATGACTCAACAAATAAACAAATCAGAAAAAAAAAAAACATATTTGATATGCCTCTAATCCAGGACTTTGATCCCAAACCCACAAAAAAAAAAAAAACTCAACATTAGATCCTAATGTTCTTAATATCTTTGACTTTAAAACAAAAAAAAAAATACAAAAGGGGTTCCCTGGCTATTTCTTTTTTTTTTTTTTGAGATGGAAAAAAAAAAATCGCCCAGGTTGGAGTGCAATGGCGCGATCTCGGCTCACTGCAAGCTAAAAAAAAAAAGTTCACGCCATTCTCCTGTCTCAGCCTCCCGAGTAGCTGGGACTACAAAAAAAAAAAACCTCGCCCGGCTAATTTTTTGTATTTTTAGCAGAGATGGGGTTTCATAAAAAAAAAAAGGATGGTCTGGATCTCCTGACCTCGTGATCCTCTCGCCTCGGCCTCCCAAAGTGCTGGGATTACAGGCGTGAGCCACCACGCCCGGCCCTATTTCTTATAATAGAAAAAAAAAAAATATTCACATGACAGTGCAGTAATTAAAGGAATTTAATGAAGCAAACGAAAAAAAAAAATCATGGTATTTGACCAGTTCTTAGGCGTGGTTTATCAAATCTGGGAGAAAATAGGACTTTAAGAGAATTATTAGGCTGGGTGCAGTGGCTCATGCCTGTAATCCCTGAACTTTGGAAGGCTGAAGTGGGAGGACTGCATGAGGTCAGGAGTTCAAACCAGCCTAAAAAAAAAAACTAGTCCTCTGTCTCTACAAAAAAGTAAAAAAATTAGCTGGGTGTGGAAAAAAAAAAATGTAGTACCACCTACTCAGGAGGCCAGGGTGAGAAGGTTGCTTGAGTAAAAAAAAAAAAGGCTGCAGTGAGCTATGATTGCACCACTGCACTCCAGCCTGAGCAAAAAAAAAAAAACCTGTCTTTAAAATATATACATAAAATTGAATGTTTCTATATGTAATAAAAAAAAAAACTTAAGACATTTGCTTTGTTTCTCTTTAATACCAACTTTCTTTAAGCAAAAAAAAAAACAACAACACATTTATTCATAACTTCCAAATGCTGTGCTTGCAACTAGAAAAAAAAAAACATAGTTCATACCTGTTGGTGGATGTGCTGTGGACACAGCTTGTCCTGTGGCCTCCTGTGTACTACTTTTGCCTTCTGTTAAAATAAAAATAAGCTTACTTTTTCCTTTTCCTTCTTTACCAAAGTATTATGAATCTAATTTAGGGCTCTCTACGATGACAAATGTAACAGGGTAATGGTGATTGTAGTTACAAACATCCTACTGCATGCTAATTTCAGAGAAAAAAAAAAATTATCCATTATATCTTCAAAGGATCATCAAAAATGAATTCAGTAGTTTTTCAGTTCCTTGGTAAGTGTCTGGGCATTCTGACAGCGGATAATTCAAGTTTCTATTAAAAAAAAAAACCAGTAAGATTGTCTTCTATTCACCCATATTTGGCTTCAGTGGGTACTTGACCCCTCAGTCTAACCTACAGTTTACCTCTATAGGTCAACTTCAGTCTTGATCACAGGTTTTTCCATCAAGGTTAAAGAGGCTGAGCTAAAAAAAGCAGAAAACTTTTGGGGGGTGGGAGAATATTACAGGATGAGAACAGTAATTATACCTACTAGTTACTGTGAAAGAAAAAAAAAAAAAAGAAAGCATTTGAGACTGGATGCCATTGGCATCTACTGAGGAATAGTTTTCTCGGCCAGGTAGGCTGTAGACTCGTACAGGTCCCCCTGAGTTGCTGATTACTCCAAAAAAAAAAAAGAATAGCAGCTGAGATGCTATCCACACTTTTTTCAGGGCATCCCACTGACTTATAGTGCCATGTTGTATCTATTGCTTTGATTAATCAAGAAAATAGCTCATCAAAAAAAAAAAAAAAAGATTCTGTTTATTTTGTTTGTTTATTTATTTATTTATTTATTTAAAAAAAAAAAGCTCTGTAGCCCAGGCTGGAGTGCAGTGGCGTGATCTCGGTTCACTGAAAAAAAAAAATCCCGGGCTGCGATTCTCCTGCCTTAGCCTCCCAAGTAGCTGGGATTAAAAAAAAAAAATCACCACGCCTGGCTAATTTTTGTATTTTTAGTAGAGACAGGGTTTAAAAAAAAAAACTAAGTCTTGAACTCCTGACCTCAAGTGATCTGCCTGCCTCAGCCTCAAAAAAAAAAAGGATTACAGGCATGAGCCACCACTCCCAGCTGCTGCTAGCCTTTTAAAAACTTGCTTACACAAGAGCAAAATTTGCCTGGAAAAAATCGTTTTGTGCTGTCGAACAAAAAAAAAAATGATAAGAACACATTTGTAATATCCTGTTACCTACAACTTAGAAATTCAGAGCACCAAACAATTTTCCTAAGATACTCTCTTTAACTACATGCCCTTGGACTGACAAAAAAAAAAAGTATTATACTGGCTATTCTACTACAGGATAGCTTGGCACTTGCTAACAAAAAAAAAAAGGGGCAAGATACTTGACAACTCTCTGAGTTCAGTTTCTTTATCTCTAACTGGAGTAAAATTCTACCTACCTGGTCAAGTTGTGGTGGAAGTTAAAACAATAGCTGAAAAAAAAAAATAACTCAGTAACATATCACATGATTAGGAATGTTTTGGAATCACAGCAAAAAAAAAAACAAGAAGTAATGCAATTTGCCTTTTGTGAGAAAGCTTTCCATGTGTAAAAAAAAAAAAAAGTATATCCAGGAGAACCTTGAAAATATATCCATTTTCTGTGGCCACAATGGCACCAAAAGAAAGAATGCAGGGAAGAAAGGGATCCAGATGGCTAAAGCAGGAAAAAAAAAAAACATGTTTGCATTTCTCTCCCACCCTGGTGTGTTTGGGCTTACCTGTGAAAAAAAAAAACACATATGCTCGATACAGAAGCATATACTATGTTCCCATACACAGAGAAAAAAAAAAAAGGGCAGCCCCCTGGGCAGAGGACATCAGCTTTCTCTTTCCTGATGTCCAAGCCTCTGGTAAAACATGTGATAGCAATGGGAGCTGAAGAGAAAGGAGATAATATTGTAAGCATTCTTAGGACTTCTTGGGGCATAGTGGTGGGGAGACTACCGTGTAAGATTAAAAAAAAAAATCCCTAATTTCTACTCTTCTAGTTATGAATATTGACTTATATACCATAAAAAAAAAAACCGGATTTTGGCAAACCACAAGGTTGTTTTCCAATTTAATATAGCCCAAAAAAAAAAAAAAAGTCTAATGTGAAAGTTCTGGGTTTTTATTTTGTTTTTGTTTTTGAAATGGGGACTTGCCAAGTTGCCCAAGCTAGGCTCAAATTCCCGAGCTCAAGTGATCCGTCTCTACCTCCTTAGTAGCTGGGATTACAGGTGTGCCACTGTGCCCGGCTTCTCAGTTCTTAATCAGGTTGGAAATATATAATTGGAACTATATCTGAAGTAGAAAATAAAGGTAAAAAAAAAAATATTAACTATAGAAATACAAAAAATCTTGGCTGGGCTTGGTGACTCATGCCTATAATCCCAGCACTGTAGCAGGCCAAGACAAGAGGATCTGCTTGAGTCCAGGAAAAAAAAAAAAACCTGGACAACATAGCGAGACTTCATCTCTTCTAAAAAAAAGAAAAAAAAAAAAAAAAATGGCCACATGTGGTGGTGTATGCCTGTACTCTCAGCCACTGAGAGGAAAAAAAAAAAGGATTGCTTGAGCCCAGGAGTTCGAGCTTACCGTGAGCTATGATTGCAAAAAAAAAAACCATCCTGGGTGACAGAATAAGATCTTGTCTCGAGAAGGAAAAAAAATTTTTTTAAATCTCAACTGTGATGACACTGTGTACATAGTTGCTTGAAGTAAAAATAGAAAAAAAAAAACGAACCTTTGTGGAACATTTTCATAGACATGTGCACAAATCAAAGCCATCCTTTCCTGCATAGGACCATTTATCTTAGCCTACAAATGCAGATCCTTAAAATCACAAAAAAAAAAAACTAACAAAAAGATGTTTAGATTCACAGAAAGTTATTTAACTCGATTAAAAAAAAAAAAGATGAGAAAATTAAAGCCGTGGGGTTAATTTGCCCAAACAACATTCTACAACTCCCGAAGGACAGAAAACAGAAAAGTGAATCCCTTCAGAATAGAGCATTTTTAAAAAAAAAAAACCTGATTATTTCTGCTCCAGATCTGTCCAAAGAGATTTATTGAGGAAAAAAAAAAAATTTAGAAAGCACTGTTAATATTCTCAAGTTTTACACTGTCAACCTAAAAAAAAAAAAAAGTTTTTACTATAAATGATGCTAGGAAGAGACAAGCTCTTGGCATCAAGTAACAACATAATACAACACGTTAATTTGTGAATTTACTGTCGATAGTAAATTGAGAAAAAAAAAAAAAAATGCTATTTTTCAAACATGGGAAATTGTAGTTATCCAAACCTTTCAAAAAAAAAAATTCATTTCAAAAACCTTTTTTTCCAGGGCAGAGGAATACTTTCTGGTAAAAAAAAAAAACTGAGTACCTTGCCTGTGACAAACACCCTTCTCTGTGCCCTTTGTGAAAAAAAAAAACCTGGACTTGACATTCCATGGAAGAGAAGGAAGGATGCAGGCGCAATAAAAAAAAAAAAGCTCTGAAACAGTCTGGAGAGCTGAGAGGTTAAAATCCTTACCCTCAAACAGCCTCATACCTATCATCAAACAGCCTTAATCCTTCCTCCCATTTTCCGCTGAGAAAAAAAAAAAATCAGAATCCGGTGCCGAGACCGACCGCCTTTAGTTGCGAACACTGAAAAAAAAAAAATGGAGCGGGAAAAACACAGCCATGTGGGATACTTACCCTCATTCCTAAAAAAAAAAAAAACAAACGGTAGCTCTTAGGAAAGCGTTGCCTTTTACACTGTAGAAAAAAAAAAAAAACACACGCCCATACCCGGACCTCCACACGTGGTACAAACTTTTTAGACTCTCACGTGTAGAATGAGACCGCAAGTGCTTCTGATTATAGGGGTTACACCTAGAAACAAAAAAAAAAAGTCAAACAAGGTGGGACAGCAACGTTCGCCCCCCTCTCTCTCCGCTATGGCAACCTCAAGTCGGGTCTGGGCGGCTTCTCCTCCACCCTAAATGCAGCGGAGCCCAAAAAAAAAAAGCCCCTCGGTGAGGCTCAAGGAGTCCTCCTTCCTTGACCTCCTGCTGCCGGCGCTCGGCGGGCCCGGGGTCTGGAGCTGTGGGTGGGACTGGAGGAGGCGTTCTTAAAAAAAAAAAAGGAGAACGTCCCCCCACCGGACCCCAGAGGCCCCCTACCATGGGAGAAAAAAAAAAACAAGAGCAGATCGGCTGCAGGGGTTAACGCGGGCGCGCCACGCGGCGGCTCCAACCTCCGCGCCTTCCATCTCGGGCTCTCTGGCCGAGGCCCAGGGGGCTGGATAAAAAAAAAAATTGTACCCGCGGGGCTCAGCCCCTGCGACCGCCTGGACGCACCCCAGTTCCCCGACTCACCGGCTCCCTCGCTGCCCGCGGGCCCCGGCAGCAGCAGCAGACACAAAAAAAAAAAAAGAAAAGCGCGAGGGCTGGCTCCAGCCTCCACCCAGCGGAGCAAGGGAAAAAAAAAAACAGGGGCGCGCACCCACCAAGGCTGAGAGCCGGGATCCAGGCTGCGGAAAAAAAAAAAGAGAGGCTGCTTAGACCTGGGAGAGAGGGAGAATGCGGGCAAGGCCAGGGTGCGGGAGGCCCCGCGCGTCACCTCAGAGCCCCGCACCCCTCGGACCCCCGGGCGAAAAAAAAAAAAGAGAAGACACCGATGACCCGCTGCTCCAGGCCAGTGCCCCTCTAGGAAAAAAAAAAACGCCTCGGCGGCAAATCGAACCAAACCCAGGATCGGTGTGCAACCCCAAAAAAAAAAAAGGCGGGGGCGCCAATACGAAGACAGACAGGCTAGGAGCGACAAAGAAAAAAAAAAAAAGGCGTCAGGGATCCCTCTCACCCGCGCCCGCCGCCCGGGGCTCCGCAAAAAAAAAAAATCCACCCGGCTGCGCCCGAGTGCGGAAGCCACGGCCCCCGTGGCCGAAAAAAAAAAAGGGCCGCGCGCATGAGCACTGTGCGGGGGGCGCGGGAGGGCGCGGGAAAAAAAAAAAAGGGGCCGGGCGGCGACCTTCCAGCTCCGCCTTCGCCCCCTCCCGGCCAAAAAAAAAAACCGGCGCGGAGGCGCCTCCTCCAGCAGCGCGGGCTTGGCCACCTGGAAAAAAAAAAAATCCCTAGAGGGGGCACGAAGGTCCCCGCGCCGGCGTCTCAACGAGTGAAAAAAAAAAACGGCCCCGACGGCGGGAGCAGCGGCCTTGCCAGCCCGGCTCTGCGGGCACCAGGGCTGCTGAGGCAGCGGTGGCAGCTACCCAGGCCCTCCCACCCCCCACTGCCCACCCACTACCCCCCGAGGCCCGGGGCTTCTGATAGCTGCCAAATCCGCGCGGCCTGAGAACCGAACTTCCCAACTCGGTACTCTGGTGGAAACGGAGTTCCTACTTCTGAAGTAAAAAAAAAAAAAGTTTGGTAAACGCATGCCGCGTTTTCGTTAGAAACTCTGTCAACTGAAAAAAAAAAAATTGGACCTTAGGGATTCGGCCTTGCGCCTTCGTTTCTGCTGGAGTCCTACTTTCCCCAGTGGTTCCATTTGCGCTCCTGCAAATGGAGGAGCGTGTGAGGTGGCCAAAAAAAAAAAAGCCGGTACCTTTGCTTCTTTTTCACCTCAGGAAGAATTTACGCCTGAAAAAA